CTAGTATAAATATGGTCCGTCACTCAGCTGATGGAGTATGTTGTGGTATAAATATTGTTGGTCACTCAGCTGATGGAGTGTGCTCTGGTATAAATATGGTCGTCACTCAGCTGATGGAGTCAACTTCTGGAGTAAACTCTGGTATAAATATGGACCGTCACTCAGCTGATGGAGTATGTTGTGGTATAAATATTGTTGGTCACTCAGCTGATGGAGTGTGCTATGGTATAAATATGGTTGGTCACTAAGCTGATGGAGGGAAGTTCTAGTATAAATATGGTCGTCACTCAGCTGATGGAGTCAACTCAGCTGATGGAGTAAACTCTGGTATAAATATGGTCGTCACTCAGTTAATGGAGTACGCTCTGGTATAAATACGGTCGTCATTCAGCTGATGGAGTATGCTCTGCTATAAATCTGGTCCGTCACTCAGCTGATGGAGTAAACTCTGGTATAAATATGGTCATCACTCAGCTGATGGAGTCAACTCAGCTGATGGAGTAAACTCTGGTATAAATATGGTCGTCACTCAGTTAATGGAGTACGCTCTGGTATAAATACGGTCGTCATTCAGCTGATGGAGTATGCTCTGCTATAAATCTGGTCCGTCACTCAGCTGATGGAGTAAACTCTGGTATAAATATGGACTGTCACTCAGCTGATGGAGTGTGCTATGGTATAAATATGGACCGTCACTCAGCTGATGGAGTGTGCTCTGGTATAAATCTGGTGTATTAGGCCAGTGACTGGTATAAGTGTTGTTGAGACGCTCAATTGACAGGAAATTGCTCTAATCCATTTTCTTTTTCATGTCTGAACTCATTTATGCATGTAAATAGCAAGATCACATTGTATTGATAACAGAATTTATACTGTAAAATTATATATTTACATGAGGCTCAAGTTTTATAGTTTTCCAAAAATATTCTGTTTTGTTGGCACTTGATTTCGTTGATAAATCTTGTTCACAAAATCCACAAGCATTGTAATCCAAGTCAACTGTCATCTATATATCAAATTTGTGGAGTCAGAGTTCCCACAAAATCAGAGAAAATCAACTCTCCTCAAATACATTTGTATGTTAAGTATGTGTTATTGTTTCTTAAAAAATGAAGAGGATGACACTTGAATAGAATGAAATATTTCAGTGTAAAATAATACTGACAAATACTGTATACTGTTAATTATTTAAGATGGAAGAGTGGATCACTCAAACCATAGACACCACTATTTTTAATGGAAGGGTTAAATCAAGCAGTTTGGAAAACAAAGACTTTTTGCATCTAAAATTTAAACGGGATGCTGTACACAAGGAAATTAGATCTAATGATACAGACTTGTAATAACCTGTGACCTTGACATTGGATCAGTAGAAAAATGCCTAGAAAAGTGTATTGTGCAGTAAATTTATCATGTGACATTTGAAAAAAAAATTATCTTTCTTGAAATATCCCTCAACATTACTCTTGGTCCCACAAACATAATTTTATATCATTTCTTAGTTTGTTTGCTGGATTTAAATAGCCCCTGCAACAGCCAAGGTGATTCTGAGGCGAAGTTTTCATGTAGTAGATGGTGACTACCTCATAAACCAACATATAAGAGGCCTGTCTCATGTCATCAAGAGTACCCAGGACACAACAAGAGACCTGTCTCATGTCATCAAGAGTACCCAGGACACAACAAGAGACCTGTCTCATGTCATCAAGAGTACCCAGGACACAACAAGAGACCTGTCTGTCATCAGGAGTACCCAGGACACAACAAGAGGCCTGTCTCATGTCATCAAGAGTACCCAGGACACAACAAGAGACCTGTCTCATGTCATCAAGAGTACCCAGGACACAACAAGAGACCTGTCTCATGTCATCAGGAGTACCCAGGACACAACAAGAGGCCTGTCTCGTGCCATCATGAGTACCCAGGACACAACAAGAGGCCTGTCTCGTGCCATCAAGAGTACCCGGACACAACAAGAGACCTGTCTCATGCCATCAAGAGTACACACGACACAACAAGAGGCCTGTCTCATGCCATCAAGAGTACCCAGGACACAACAAGAGACCTGTCTCATGTCATCAAGAGTACGCAGACACAACAAGAGACCTGTCTCATGTCATCAAGAGTACCCGGACACAACAAGAGACCTGTCTCATGCCATCAAGAGTACCCGGACACAACAAGAGACCTGTCTCATGTCATCAAGAGTACACAGGACACAACAAGAGACCTGTCTCATGTCATCAAGAGTACCCGGACACAACAAGAGACCTGTCTCATGCCATCAAGAGTACACATGACACAACAAGAGGCCTGTCTCGTGCCATCAAGAGTACCCAGGACACAACCAAAACTGCAAAAATTGGTCCATTTCTCAGCTTTCTGAAGAAACACAAGCTGTAATGGAAGGACAAGATAGAAAGTGTTTATCAAAAACATGGTTGAATAATTTTGATAAATGTCCATCTTCTGTTAAATGTGATTCATTTTCTTCAGTCAAGTGATAATTCGGTACTACATGTAAAAATAAACAAAGGGCCATAACTCTGTGTATAATTAGACATATTACATTTGTTCAATAGGTTTACAAATATTTTTTTTTTCGCACATGAATGACTTAAGGATAAAAAAAAGAAACACAAAACACAGAAATTAAAGTTTATACATGAAATGTTTATTGCACACATTCAGCTCAACACAATGACGACAATTCTGGCTTGTAAATCTGCTACAGGATAATGATATCAGTTGCATACTTTGTCACTTATTTACCAAAAAATGTTCAAATGTTTTATGATAAAACGAGATATATACAAGCGAACAGAATAAATATTACTAGTTTATATAATACAACCAAGTTTATTTCAATGCCTGATAATGACAGTGTGGTACATTTATATCTATAATGATCACACAAAGATAATTGCTAGTAATGAATAAAAAGACATGATGTGGGTAAAGGATTGTTCAGATGAGGTGTGAAAAGCTCTGAGAACATCTCTGTATAAATGCTATGAGTGTCTGACTGTAATCCTTGAATTCTATCACAAATGTATAATTTTTGTATGAAAAGAAAAAAAAATGAAATGTGATAGTTAATCAAAATTTTTTATCAACATTTGTTCAACTAAAAATTATGATAAAATGAATTTCAACTGCCATGTTATTGAATTATTTTTGTTTTAACTATTCTGCACAAAACATAGAAACATCTAACCGTTTTAAAAGTAAAAAACTATTTAAAATGAAAGATACAGCAATGCTAAAATTGTGGAGAAAACATATATATATGTATATACATGTATAAACTTTCAATACATTTTGTAGGAAAGCTTACAGGTTGTGGTACATTGAGCTAATATTGAAATCCAGTCTTCTAAATCTTATGGTGATTCTTGTTTTTCTATTTAGTGTATGGTGATTTTTTTTACAGATTTTATATGTGTAAGTTTTAATATAAATAACAAATACTGATGTTTCTTGAATTATATATCCCTTGTTACCTAGGCCAAGCCTATAAATATTAAAAACTACTTAAGTTATCTCCAAAATGCTTCCAAACTCCTTCCTCCTTTACTTTCATTCATTCTTTCATTCATCTTCATAAAATGTTGAAAACTGTTTCAAATTACTGACCTCTCAGTAGAAATACTATTGTGTATTTGACAGTGTTTTAGATCTGACTTTTAGACATTTTACACACAAAAGGTTCCTCTGGTACACTCTCAACAACAATAACCTCAAAGTGGGCTAGAGAAGTGAAATACTACTTCTCATGTGTCAAATTCTGTCAGATAACAATTAAACAATAATATCAATATTAATGAAATATCATTATCATTAAACCACAATACAATCTTACATAATTAGATTCAATGTGTTCAGATCTGATTTCAATCAATCTCTTGTGTTTTTGTTAATATTTCAGTAAATCTTGGTGTTGTTGTTAAAATTTCAGTAAATCTTGGTGTTTTTGTTCATACTTCAGTAAATCTTGGTGTTGTTGTTAACATTTCAGTAAATCTTGGTGTTGTTGTTAACATTTCAATAAATCTTGGTGTTGTTGTTAACATTTCAGTAAATCTTGTGTGTATTTGTTAACATTTCAGTAAATCTTGGTGTTGTTGTTAACATTTCAGTAAATCTTGGTGTTGTTGTTAACATTTCAGTAAATCTTGTGTGTATTTGTTAACATTTCAGTAAATCTTGGTGTTGTTGTTAACATTTCAGTAAATCTTGGTGTTTTTGTTAACATTTCAGTAAATCTTGGTGTTGTTGTTAACATTTCAGTAAATCTTGGTGTTTTTGTTAACATTTCAGTAAATCTTGGTGTTGTTAACATTTCAATAAATCTTGGTGTTGTTGTTAACATTTCAATAAATCTTGGTGTTTTTGTTAACATTTCAATAAATCTTGGTGTTTTTGTTAACATTTCAGTAAATCTTGGTGTTGTTGTTAACATTTCAGTAAATCTTGGTGTTGTTGTTAACATTTCAGTAAATCTTGGTGTTGTTGTTAACATTTCAGTAAATCTTGGTGTTGTTGTTAACATTTCAGTAAATCTTGGTGTTGTTGTTAACATTTCAGTAAATCTTGGTGTTTTTGTTAACATTTCAGTAAATCTTGGTGTTGTTGTTAACATTTCAGTAAATCTTGGTGTTGTTGTTAACATTTCAATAAATCTTGGTGTTGTTGTTAATATTTCAATAAATCTTGGTGTTTTTGTTAACATTTCAATAAATCTTGGTGTTGTTGTTAATATTTCAGTAAATCTTGGTGTTGTTGTTAACATTTCAATAAATCTTGGTGTTTTTGTTAACATTTCAGTAAATCTTGGTGTTGTTGTTAACATTTCAGTAAATCTTGGTGTTGTTGTTAACATTTCAATAAATCTTGGTGTTGTTGTTAACATTTCAGTAAATCTTGGTGTATTTGTTAACATTTCAGTTAAACATTTCAGTAAATCTTGGTGTTGTTGTTAACATTTCTGTAAATCTTGGTGTTGTTGTTAACATTTCAATAAATCTTGGTGTTGTTGTTAACATTTCAGTAAATCTTGGTGTATTTGTTAACATTTCAGTAAATCTTGTGTGTATTTGTTAACATTTCAATAAATCTTGGTGTTTTTGTTAACATTTCAATAAATCTTGGTGTTGTTAACATTTCAGTAAATCTTGGTGTTGTTGTTAACATTTCAATAAATCTTGGTGTTGTTGTTAACATTTCAGTAAATCTTGGTGTTGTTGTTAACATTTTGAAGAAAAAACTGTTTTTGATTTTCTTTTTATTCATTTTTTTGTAATGAAATGTAAATCTGCAAGATATGTGTGATAAAATAAAAATGTTGTCCAATCTAAAAATAGCCATAGTCAAGATGCTACGTAGAGTTAGTCAGCTCTTGTTATACTATAAATAGACTCATTTTATCTTCTAGGGGATTATAACTGAAAATATAACATTCATGAAGGTCAAATTCAAAATTCAATCAATTTTATACTGAATATCTAACTTGACTAATCGGTCCTTCTTGGCTTCTGTATAAAGTATGTGATAAGAGGAAATGCCGGACAACATGAATTGTTTATGATATATGACAAAATACTGGTATATGAAAACTCACAAGAATCAAGCAGTCTGCTCCCGGTAGCAAAATGGGGGATTTATCACCGGAATATTTTTACATAAAAAAGAACATACACATACGATTACAGTTGTAACAATATGGCAAAGTCATTATTTACAAATAATCCGGAAAGTTCAAATCTATTGATACTTTTTTTTCTCTTTATGTGTACAGTGTGAACAATCTTGACAAGAGTTTTAGTGGAACTTGATCAATTATAGTTAGTTATAATGGGACTGTGGGTGGTAAAGCTGAATATGATCAGACAGATGGCTGACCAAATATGTCCCTTGTTACCAAATCTTGTTCCTATGTACCATGCCCTCCCTTCCAGTTCCTATACTTGCATAATTCTTAATTAAGATTATTTTCCTACATTTTTTTTTCTGGCACTCCACCACAGTGTTTGTCCTGTTCTATCTACATTACTGACCCTGGAATCTACCACTTTTCTACTTTATTTTGGTTTTTTTTTTATATTGATGATTATCAATTACTATTCAAATCTAATACATAAATGTGTTCTATAACATCAAAGCAATCGACATATTATTTTCAATATTGCTGAGAAAATTCTTTTTCCAAACTGAAATCCTCAGAGAGTTATATAAAAAGATCCGGCTATCTCCTTCTAGACTAACTTTATCAAGGAATTTCATGTTTTTATATCACATTTGGTATCTACTTATCTACTTGAGCCTGAAATCTTTATCAAATTATACTTATCATCTTTACATCCAGAACAAAAAATTAAATATTCATTCTCGAGTAAAAACTATAAATACCTAGACAAAGTTTAGCTATACCAATGGAAATTGTGAATGGTTCATGAGGTTCAAAGGTCAACAGCATTGTATATTTTCTTATAATGAGTATCTTAACAGCTAAGGCCTGCAGGTAATTAAACGTATTTGAAATTAAGTACTGATGATGTACTTTCACTAGCCCAGATTTATCAAATCTGCTTGTCCTGAAAGTTGAAAAGGAGAAATTTGCAATTTTGGTATTAGGGAATAGAAAGGAAATCTCTTGTTTTCTATATCAGATAGTTGTAGAGAAAGTGTAGTAATGTTTACAATTGTATCAGATTTACCCTACTGGTACTCGTCAACATCCTCAATCGTCCTCTATGATCATTCCTATACAAAAATTTGTGTAGTTGACATTCACATTTTGAAGGTTTTTCATACATTTGATGCTAAAGCTGTGAAAAAAAGGATAAAACAAAGGTTGATGGTACCCTCCTCAGGTCGTTAGGGTGATAATCATGATTGTAGGACCACCATAGTGACCAAACCTGAAAAGACAAGGAAAACTAATTAATATAGACACAGCAAACTTTGATTCATAAATTAAGTTAAATAATTTGTATAAAATTTAATCAAGGACAGGAAGTCCAATGGGCCTGCGAGGCTCATCTGGTAATAAATGTCACAGATCACAAACAGACTGACCTCCATCACAAACTATGAGGAGTAGAATTCAGCAAACTTCATATTGTATAGAAGGCTTTTTGGACAATTTGGATTTTTGTATCACATGATAAAAAGATAATAGACTATCGATGCTCAGAAAATTTGTTGTAAATACACTCAATGAATAGGATTTTGGACACCTATACATTTGTATGTATATCTGAAAGAGTGGTGATAATAGTGAGACAATCTTTTCTCCATTATATTGTCATAAATCTTCCTATGTTGGTTAAGTGTTACGTGATTTGAATGCTTCAAACTTTGCATCCCTTTGTTGTTTAATTTATCAAAATGAGCCAAACTGTCCTTCCTGAAAGTCCAACTAAGGCTATTTTGTTGTATTATGAATGATTCTACTATAAACTTGTGTAGATATTTCCAACAGATTATATTTGCATTAGTACATTTTCATAGACAAGTGTTATGTTCAGGAATTACACAAGCATCAATGTCAGCAGTTTTAAGTACTCTCATTATTAGGTTACTTCATCATCTACATATGTGTTACCCACAATGCAATATGTGTTACCCACAATGCAATAAGGGTTTCCCAAAATGCAATATGTATTACCCACAATGCAATAAGGGTTTCCCATAATGCAATATGTATTTACCCATAATGCATTAACATCAAAAGTATTCAATTACAAGTATCACTCACATCTCAACAGTCACCAAATAAACCTAAAATATCAGTCAGACAGCCTGGACACCTTCATGATTTGAAGAAGATTATGGGGAAGATCATAATGATTTCGATTCCTTGTGCAACATGAAGTAGTGCTCATATGTGTGCCTGGCTCTGTTGTTTGCTTTGGTTTTTATTTACATGGTAGGTGCTGTCCATGAAGCCCTTCCAAAACACCTGGTCTGACTCTCCCAGTACATTTTAAGGAGTCTTTGTGTAAATCTTTTTAGTGAAATTTCACCTAGTTTCATTGAATATGAGTTTGAATTAACATTCTGTTAACAGATGTCATTGTTGTATTTGCTACACATTTATCCAGAAAGCACATATTGCCGACCTCATAATATTGACATTATTAATCAGGAGAAGAACCAGGGGTTTTCTAGAAGTAGTCAAAAATGTTATGCATGTTCCTCTTCTTATGAGACACGAAAAGTTCTTGAGAACACTTAGAATTGAGCTCGTCCCGCCACAATAAAAGCACGAAGGTTTTTTGGCCATTTTTCATGGTTCAAATTTTTACTGATTAACTTAACCCCTGAAGTACAAGTGTACTACTGAAACTTACAAAGACTCCCCAAAAACAACTGAATTGGATGCAATACTTTAACAAAAGTAAATAATTCTACAATTGATGGGTTTCAGGCCATATCTTTGGTACACTGTACATTCTTTTTGCATGATCAATGTATACACCAAGTTTCATTACTCTAGTTTGCATGACAGCAAGAATAGGCTATGGACATAAAATCTTAACAAAGGGAAATAACTCTGTAACTAAGGGGTTCCAGACCCTAGATTTTGCACACTGCATATCATCTTAGTATGACCAATGTTTACACCACTTAACATGATGATTGATGATGTGTTAGCAAATTTATGCTTGGACAGAAAATTTTAACAAAGGGCAATAACTTGTGAGCCTTGACTTTGGTACACTGCACTTCGTCTTAGTATGACCAATGTACGCACCTAGTTTAATTACCTTAGTTTAAAATGCAAGCATAAAAGAACAGACAGAAAGACAGAAGGACAAAGTGGAGAATATATGTACAGTTCCCAATGAAAATCATGATAATATTGTTGAACATTGAATGTGTGTAATTTTCATCTAGCAGCATTACGAATGAAAGTACTATTCACTGAATGGGACAGGACATAATGTGCTACAGACACAAATTTACAGAATTAGAAATTATCAAGTTTGCTGGAAATTCATTTCAAACTGAGTGTGTTGAAATATCAATGAATTAAAAACCTTTACACAAATTCTGTTGTTTTAGTGAAAAATGAATGGTTGATGCATAATGTATTGCATTCAATTTGAAGATATTAGAAAAATTACACTGAAACAATATTTTTACATGTATTTAGCTAAAGAGTGTATATCCTCTAAAGAAGTTCAATTTTCTCTAGCTAAATGAGACCCCTTCACCTCTATCTAAATTCAACTTCCTATGTCGCCCCACACTTCATAAAACACACAATCTATTCCGCCTGTGTACAGACATTGACAGAACATAACTAGGTGTGTGTTGTATTATTGTTTCCATCCAAACAGACATTAATTGGCCGATTGTAAAGGCAGGCATAATACAATTACCATAGTTGTTATAGTAACAACCTCCTGGAATTCAATACAACCAGGATAAACACAAAATTCTAATCAGAGTCGGACGTGGACATGTCTATAACTATACTGTCACATATCCTAATGGATTACAGGATCCAACATGGACATTTTACTGTCACATACCCTAATGGATTACAGGATCCAACATGGACATTTTACTGTCACATACCCTAATGGATTACAGGATCCAACATGGACATTTTACTGTCACATATCCTAATGGATTACAGGATCCAACATGGACATTTTACTGTCACATATCCTAATGTATTACAGGATCCAACATGGACATTTTACTGTCAAATACCCTAATGGATTACAAGATCACAACGTGGATTACAAGATCACAACGTGGACATTTTACTGTCACATATCCTAATGGATTACAGGATCCAACGTGGACATTTTACTGTCACATACCCTAATGGATTACAGGATCCAACATGGACATTTTACTGTCACATACCCTAATGGATTACAGGATCCAACATGGACATTTTACTGTCACATACCCTAATGGATTACAAGATCACAACATGGACATTTTACTGTCACATATCCTAATGGATTACAGGATCCAACATGGACATTTTACTGTCACATATCCTAATGGATTACAGGATCCAACATGGACATTTTACTGTCACATATCCTAATGGATTACAGGATCCAACATGGACATTTTACTGTCACATATCCTAATGTATTACAGGATCCAACATGGACATTTTACTGTCACATATCCTAATGGATTACAGGATCCAACATGGACATTTTACTGTCACATATCCTAATGGATTACAGGATCCAACATGGACATTTTACTGTCACATATCCTAATGTATTACAGGATCCAACATGGACATTTTACTGTCACATATCCTAATGGATTACAGGATCCAACATGGACATTTTACTGTCACATATCCTAATGGATTACAGGATCCAACATGGACATTTTACTGTCACATATCCTAATGGATTACAGGATTGGAATTTTACTGTCACATGATTACAGATCAACATGGACATTTACTGTCACATATCCTAATGGATTACAAGATCCAACATGACACATTTTACTGTCACATATCCTAAAATTCTGTATGACAACACACATTATATTGTCATGATACCCTAAACAATTCACAAGACGCTTTCTCTTTAGGAACACCAGTGTTAACCTTTTTCTTCACGTTGTGCTGTAGTTTACTTGACTTTGAGTTTGGATTTTAATTATGTTGAAACGTTGGTATTTTCTTGTTGTTTTATAGTTATAACTGCTTGATTATATAAAAATGAATGAGAACACGCTCCTGAACCACTGTGCTAATTACACAAAAAAGTATTAATGTACTTAAATTTCATTGCACCAAATTCAGTGCATTTCATTTTTTGTTTAAATGACAACTGAAGCAAAACTTTGGGATTGTTGTTATCTTGCAGTTCCTCTCTGAAGCTCTCTTATTAGGTTGAACACTATTCAGGAATGCTGAAAAAATAATTATACCATGGGTAGAGTATAATTTATTAAGCAGAAGCTTCTGAAGTATCAATATTTCAAACAAATTGAAAACATCAACACCTGATTTATTGATTCTGTATTAATATCAAACCACAGATCTAATTCACTACAGCTCTAGGCTAGAATATCCTCACAGCAAAATGTTACATCAAAATCAATAGCAAGTTTTATGGTAAAACAAATCTTATTTTAATTGTATCTTCCTTTTTAATGATCACATGAAGCCCATGAGCCTAAATGGTCACCTAACTAATCTCAACCAAACTCTGGATGCAAAGGGCCATAACTCTGTAATTTACTAAAGACCCCATTTGTATAAGGCTGCATACAAAGTTTCATTAAAACTTGTTCACATTCACTCACGTTATCATGTCCACCATGTTCAATAATAATAAAACTGCAAAGTGCCATAACTCTGTAATTTACTAAAGACCTCATTTGTATAAGGCTGCATACAAAGTTTCATTAAAACTTGTTCACATTCACTCACGTTATCATGTCCACCATGTTCAATAATAATAAAACTGCAAAGGGCCATAACTCTACAAAATAAAATCAAATTGGTCCAATTGTCTAATACATCCGAGGTCGTATTGAAGGCTGCATACTAAGTTTAATTAAATTATGTTCCTACTTACTCAAGTTATCTTCTTTAAAAGAAAAAGTTAACACACCATGAAATGAAAACTTCAAAGAATTCGAAAACTCAATTAAGATCCTATATTTATGCTGCAATTAAGAAAGACAACATTTAAGGTGTATTGTCACTATAAGCATTTAATTGTAGAGATGGTCTTATCTCAATGGCAATGAAAATTATTTGCTGAGTTTTCTTTAACAGAAAATAGAAATGGACAGGCTAAGTTTACCAGTAGCCCCTCAAATGTTTTTTCTAAATAATTTGTTTTTATTGCAAGATATCTTTTCATAAATTTTTTGGTCCTCTGACACATTTTTGTAAATGAAGATATCACAG